GTTCATTCCATATATATCAAAGTTCATTCCATATATATCAATGTTCATTCTATATATATCAAAGTTCATTCCATATATATCAATGTTCATTCTAAATATATCAGTTCATTCCATATATATCAATGTTCATTCTATATATATCAAAGTTCATTCCATATATATCAATATTCATTCCATATATATCAGTGTTCATTCTAAATATATCAGTTCATTCTATATATATCAAAGTTCATTCCATATATATCAGTGTTCATCCTATATATATCAAAGTTCATTCTATGTATATCAAAGTTCATTGTATATATATCAATGTTCATTCCATATATATCAAAGTTCATTCCATATATATCAATGTTCATTGTATATATATCAATGTTCATTCCATATATATCAAAGTTCATTCCATATATATCAATGTTCATTCCATATATATCAATGTTCATTGTATATATATCAATGTTCATTCCATATATATCAAAGTTCATTCCATATATATCAATGTTCATTCTATATATATCAATGTTCATTCTATATATATCAAAGTTCATTCCATATATATCAATGTTCATTCTATATATATCAATGTTCATTCTATATATATCAAAGTTCATTCCATATATATCAATGTTCATTGAATATATATCAACGTTCATTCCATATATCTCAGTAGAACAAAGATTGATATATATGGAACGAACATTGATATATATGGAATGAATTTTGATATATAAACAATGAACTTTGATATATATTGAATGAACATTGATATATATACAATGAACTTTGATATATATACAATGAACTTTGATATATATTGAATGAACTTTGATATATATTGAATGAACTTTGATATATATACAATGAACATTGATATATATTGAATGAACCTTGATGTACATGGATCGAACATTGAGATGAAAAAATGAATAACATAATTCATAAAATGTTTAGTTTAGACAGAGACAGACTTTTGGGGTTCTGTGTGTTGTAGCCTTGTACCCCAAAAACAGACTGTTTACATTGTTATGTAATGTTGCTATGTTGTTGTTCTTCAGTTACAGTGTGTGTATGTGTTTACTCTGTTATTTTGTGTCCAGCTCAGAGTTAGGGAGAGTGTGTTTGTGTTTGGTGACCCTCAGAAGAAAGAGAAGGGCTAGGAGTGATCTACCTCAATTTTCAGTTGCTTTTCAAGTGGCATTGTTTTCCCTCGCTCTCAATAAAAGAGCATTTTTCAAACAGAAGTTATGGCCTCATCTGACTCTTCTTCTGCACCATGTCAAATTATGTACATATTGAAACTCCACCCATCTGTTTCTTCACATCATATATCAGCCACTCTCAGGTCACTCTGTCCATGGAATCACTGTGTATAGATACTGGTCACTTTATCAGAATTCCCTTTAAGCTCCACCTGGAGTTTGTTAATGCCCATTTATTGATGTACAGAGCAGGTAAGAGCAGTTAGACAGCAGACTTATTTTTGTCCACAATATTGTTCCAACTACTCCACTGTGTTCTGCTAGCCCCTGACTTAGCTAGTGGTCAAAGAGGGCACAGATAACAGTGATTTTCATAGCCAAATGTTAATGGCCAGTGGACATTGGCAGGAGTGGTAGAGCAAGACCTTTTACTCTAGTAAAAATACAAATACTATAGTTAAAGTACAGTTTTTACAGATACCATGCTTATTTACTCATACTCATAAACAAGACACCGATACCAACATCCCTGATAACCTGATACCATGTGACACAAGTTATGCTAAAATAAGCCACTACCATGCTAATGAACAAATGACTGAAGGTGGCAGTGAACGAGGGTCTGCACACAAAAGGAAGTTTTGCCATTGCTGGTCACTTTAAACAGTTCAGTAAATCCCCTCCAGGTATAACTTTATTTGATTTTAGTCTGTTTTTAAACACACACAATCACTGTCACTACTGTTTCCCCAATACATGTGGAGACACATATGCTAAGAAAACGAAAGTGAAAACCAAAGTCTGTCTATGCTGACTTTACTCTGTTTGACTAAACGGAATTGTAAAGTATAAACATTAATAAATTAATTTTTGAAGTTGTCTTTTGTAAAACAGGCTGGAGAGAGGCTGTATTGTCCTAGCTTGTACATCATCACCTATTTTAGCTGGAGTGCACAGTGTGGCACAAGTTAGCAAAGCTGCTCCTCTCAGTGTGTTTGCTCAGTACTCAGAGCACAACATGTTATTTTGAATGAAACAGCTTTATTGATGATTGACTGCAGGCATAGCTGTCCATAGAGACTGTGCTTCATGCATGTTAATCGGACTGTGCAGTTTCGTACAGTGTGAACATATCATAGGCTTTGTCTGCACATGATGGTCTATTTAAACAGTGTGAGTCACCAGAGAACAAGGTTTCTAAAACTGCACACTGTATGCTTGGCTTTTGAGGACATTCTGCTACAGCTTAACCAGCCAACTAGCCAAATACCAAATACAAGTACTTTTTTCTAAGTAGGTTACTCATTAGGGTATCAGCAAGTACTAAAAAAACATGTACTTGTACTTATACTCAATCTGAAAAAATGGTATCGATGCATCCCTAGAGAAATTTGTGAATAAATATATGAAGGGATTTGTTGCCTCTTTATTTTCATTGTCACATCTGTTAGAGTTCAGATTTGTTAGGTGTTTGTGGCTGAATCAACTACTGGGAGCTGCCTAATACGAAAAATCACCGTATGATTTCTAAATATATGTAGATTATAGAATAATTTATCTCACAGAAAGTAGAGTAAGTGGAAGGTAGAGATTTTTCTTGAAAAAATGAAAGACAGTGAACAAAAGTCTTAAAGGGAAATCCCACCAATTTATCCTAAGAGCTGCATATTTCAATTGTTGAGATGTAAAGAAAGTCAAAATGAGCCATTGTAGAGAATCTTACCAACTTAGACTTATCATTTTCAGTGGTGGCTTTACTATGAAACACAGGTCTCATCATAATGATAAAATAGTAGTAAATCTGAAAAACATATTTTGGGGACTATTTTGTCTTACATGCCCTGCATGTACTCCTCTGCTCTGAATATGTCACAAATCCATTGTAAAACAACGTCTCAGACATCAGGCAGCATATTTGCGTGTTTGTTCCCTTTTCATGTACTGGTTTTCTGTGAGAGAGCTTCTAAAGGTGTTAAAGTGTTCAGATGTCTGGTTCCTATCCCTGAATGAATGACTTTGTTTACATCCTAACCATTCAATCATGCAGATTTTTTTTAATTAGTATAATTCCCCTTTAAGTGAAGTGATATAGACACTTGAACATTATACATAATTACAGTTATTGTACTTCCTATCTGTAGACATTTGAAAAAGATAAAAAAAAAACAATCTCAGTGTGCAGCGATGACAGTTATGGAAAAAGATGATAAGGCATTAGTAATCTGGTGAGTGATAGAGGTGAGAAAGATTGAAGGAATGAAGGGGGAGGGGTGGATTTGCCTGTGAAAAACTGGACAGGAAGGAAAAGTGGGTGGTGATGAGAGGCTTATCTTGGACAGCATCTGAGAGCGAGTGGCTGTCTAACACCCAGCAGTGCCGGCGCCTTGGCCGTGGCACGCGTCATTGAACAATTAACTGGCTGGCATTTGGCTTTATCGGAGATTAGTCAGCTCTGACTGCTCTCGGCTCCAAAGCTGTGAACAGCTCACAGGCCAGCATTCACAGCATTGATTACAAAGACATAATAAAACATTTAGTTCCATACTGAAGGATCCAAGTCCTTATCTTGCTCATTAATTGGTTAATTATCGTTGCTGTCACAACAAAACCTTGTATCTCCGAAGTGGTAACTTTACAGGAGAAGGGAAAAACTTTGAATGGAAGTTAATGGAATAAGATTTTTTTTCTAAGTAATTTTGAAACATTTCTATTGATCCATTCATCATGAAATTTGAACACATTGTAAAGGCTAGCTGACCTTTTCAAATTATAGAAAAAACTGAAAAACAACAAAAAAGGAGATACAAGGTGCTCCAACAGCAACGTTATACTGGCCATCAAAAAAACAGCTTGAACTTTTCGAAAATGGAAACATAGGAAATAGACAACAACACTATTAAGAAACTATGATTCACAAATGGTTACATGGTTATATGGAGCTTCTTTAAACATCAATGACTTCTTCACACTGGCTTACCTCCTTATCTCATTTACATAAAATGTTATTTAAATAACCATCCCACTGAAATTTTCTTTAGAAAACCAAAAATGAGTGTAAGAGTGTTTATCAGTAGTTTGAAGTGTTCTCCTTTAGCCTTGGTGACCGCCTTACAAGTGTTTTTTTTTTTTTATTATCTAAATCATGACTACCCAGAGTGTGGCCCAGGGGCAAAATTGGTCAATGAGGACATTTGATTTGGCCCACCAGAAAGTTACCCCAACACCACCTTCCCACTCACTGAGAAAACAAGCATATTTTATGCTGTATATAATTTATTATATTTTTAATTTCCTTCCAAAATTGCACAGTATTTTAACAAAACAGTGTTTGGATTCTTCTTCTTCCCTACATAGTCCCAGAAGTTCTCAATGGAATTTAAATCTGGTGAATGTGATTTCATGTCACGTCACCACCTGCATTTCCTTAAACCTCTCCCTTACTTGACAAGCAGTACAACATTTTGCACTGTCATGTTGGAATATCTCTCAGTGTAAGCACAAGAGTTGGATCCCTTCAAACACATCAAAAACAGTTGCTAAACATCAGTTCATGACCAACTCTTTTTCACCGCCATTGCAGTTTAGCAGTTGAAGTCGCTTTCTTTACAAATAGTAAATACATCTTATATGTAAAATCACAAGCAGATGACATGAGTGTGCTTAAAAACATTTTATTCTATCATACACAACAGATTACACATTTGAATGTAATATATAAATACATTGTTTACTCCTCAAAGACTCCTCAACAATGTAATAATGCATAGACTATATACAACAAAATGTGTTTGATTGTTTTTTTCCTACATGAATGGCCTTTGTGGTTCATGAAAATATATGCTGACCAACAGTAAGTGCCAAAATGTTACTATAAAAAACATCCACTGTCAGAGTGATGTTTATCTTAGTCAATGCTTGGAGACCAGTTGAATCTTTTCCTGCTCGTAATCATGCCTCTTGTCAGTAGGAAACTGTATCCCTGTTATTGCCTATCTTTTATAACACAATATCTGCCTTGTGTTGAGTCACTAGTCTGAATAGTAATTGAAAAGCGTCATTTAAAACCATTCAGATTTTCTGGTAAATCTAGTTAGTGATGTTAAAAAAAGGGTTGGAAATAGGACACTTTCAGGTGTGATACATTGCAAAACATTTCAGACGTGGACGCCACTAACAGCAGAAGAGTATTTCATCTCTAGGAGAGGTTTTCAGGTTGAGCTGGCATTAAAAGCATGTGGGGTTATGTTCATATATTCCCATGCATACATACATTCCAAGTTTTGTGAAACTTCTTTCTGAACATCGCACATCAGACCAGAGTGTTGAATATGTTCAAGATCATCTAGTGAAAAATCCCATTTTTAGATTTTGTGGACAGGCAATGCAAAGATACCTCATTTGGAGATATGAATATAAAACAATGTATGGAAAATAACAAAATAACTCATAGAAAAATGTTCATCTGTAAACACACCTGTAAACAGCTCAACAGGAAATCAAAAGGAAAAAAAGTCTTTTTTGACTCAGTTTTCAGTTAAAACAATATCATACAATCTTGAGGTCAGTGCATCGTACCAGTTTTTTTGTTTGTTTTGTTTTTTTTGGAGCAGATATGAAAAAGTAAAAAGGAAAATAATTTTTAAAAAATAAAAACATAAAAAGCTCTTGACAGCAAACTCCTTCTTGTAGTCAAGCATCTTTCTGGAGATAACGTTATAAATAAGAGTCTTCACATGTGTTTCCACATATTAAGAAAAAGTAATTAAACTCCTTCACTTTTCTGTTTCCCGCCACCCACGAGCATTCCTTCCAAACTTGTAGACCAGCCTGCGTCCATCCACACGCTCTAGAATCTCTCGTTTGTAGTAATATCTTCATCAAAATACGAGAAAAACAGGTTAATGCTTATGCTTCTAATGAGAATGTTAGATTGTTGATAGTCTTGTGAATACTTGATCAGTATCACACACAGAAAGAAAAAAGTATGAACCTCATTGCTCGACTGAGCTTCTCGTAGGTCATGCTGCTGTTGTTCTTCTTCTTGCCCCACAGCTGTGCTACTGCCTCAGATTTCAGAAAGCGGAACACCCCCTCAGACCTGTCCTCCCATTTAATCAGGCCTGGGTTCCTCTCTGGGTTCAGTAAGATGTCTCGTATGAACTCCCACAGATGGGTCCCACGAGGGTCTGTTGGAAGGAAAAACACGCCAGACAGGATTGACGAGAAGACGTAGCTTTAATCTGATACTGGTCAGATCCTAGAGTATGCAAGCATTACACAGAGATAGAGTGATGATTGTCTTATGATGCAAACTCAAGATAATGTGACACTTTGCAGGAATGGCTCAAGGAAATAAACTCTGAAAAATGTAAGAAGAGATTAGAGGAATAACTCACTGTGTTTTTTTACTTGGTGGGAGCGACTATGGGACCTTTTGGGGTCTGAGGAGTCACAAAAAGGGTGAAGTTTACGGTAAGGAAAAAAAATTATAAAGCATATGTCACTGAAAAAATTCTCCAAAATGCTAACTTAAGGAAAAGCAAATATGGCTGTAAATTTTAATGTGAGTTTATATAAAAAAGTTTTATTCCAAGTAATTTTGGAGCACTTCTTTTGGTTGATTCATCATAAAATGTTTTCACAATATAAAGCTGCTATGATCAAATGTTCTTGGAAAATATTAATCAACAAAAATGGTGACAGCAGCAGCAACAGTATATCTGCCTTATATTCACTTTGCCCACAGCATTGGTTCTCAGTCTGATCCTTAAAGGCCTTCAGATGTTGGTCATAAAGTGTGAGAGTTGGGTTGGAACAAAAATGCGGTCCATCTGGGGATCCCTGAGGACTTTTTTTGATACCACTGGTCTGTAGAACACAACGGTTCCAACTATGCGGGTCAAACTAAGAGAAATCTCCTATACCAATAAAATGATGCTTTGAACATATATCATAAAAGTCAGTTGCAACCGAATAAAATGTGTTACATCAACACAATTCCTGCTAAAGAAAGTGAACTGAAAGACAGTAATTGATGTAACCTTTTTATTCATGTTCAAACAGCTGACACATCTGAGTCAGTACATTCAAAGAACCATATATTTTCAATGTGTAGTGCAGCCCAGTCACTAGGTAAAACTAAATGACTCAAAAGGGCTTTGACATGGTACTCATAATAGATGCTGCCCACATAATTAAATGACAGTCCATACATCAAATGTTAGATTTAACTGCTTTAGGCTGCAGATGGGTTTATAAATGAGTGTAATTTGGTCCAGTGTCAGCACTGCTCTGTCTTCCTCTTTCTCATTAACGCTGCCCTAAATAATGACTGCAGATATAAAAGTAAGATGGCAACAGTTCTGCTGCTTTCACTTGTCCACACTACGGTACGATTGGCACCTGTGGAGCGTATAATTGGGTTGGATTTATCATTAGAAGGGTGTGTTCAGGCTGCTTTTTGACAGGATTATGTTTCTTACCTGGACTAGAGGGAGCTGGAGAGGTCATCATAGCAGATGGCTGAAATGGGGTTTTAATGTCAAAAAGCTCTGTTAAAGGATTATCGTACAGACAATTAGTATATGACAGCTACACTGGGAAGTCCTGATAATATCTGTAATTAAAAGACCTGAAAATGTTGGCATACCTGAAGTGGAGTAGAAGCTTGGCTCCTCTTTGAAAGGCAAGATTGAACACGGAAGATCTGCTAAATAAAAAAACCCTGCCTGATGTAGTCTTCATACCAAGATTTAAGATAATTCATGCACTTTTGTCAAGGTTTACTCACCATCTAGTTCTGTTTTAATGTCCCCTGGTGTAAACATATCTGCTGAGGAGCCATACTGACCTGTTTGGGTTTAAATAAGAAAACATAATGACGTATTTTAGATAATTAATGCTCTTTGTTGTTCTCTATGGTCAGAAGAACATAGCTGTGTTTACAGTCACTGTATTTGATTACCATGTGTTGATTTCCTTCACACCACCCACTCAAACATTCAAACTAGTAAAACATGTATGTCCTGTTCTCACGGTTCAACTGAATAAGCTGTTTAATTATAAGGATCATCAAAGTTCAGACTGTAAATGAGACAAGTAGCATGTTTAAAATTGTCATACCTATGGACCTCAAGTCAGTGCTCTATGGCTGTTGTTGATATGGTTGTGGATGAGTAACTATGCGTTGCATAAAGAAAATTTTCACAGGGTTTTAAATAAAGTTAAAGTGAATACACAGAAGTGTTCAACATTCTGGGTTATGTTTTCCATACACCTCTTCAATTGGTCTCATATGGCCAGTGGGGAACCTTAATGTCTATCATTTTTAGTTCATTTTTATTTAGTAGAACTCTGTAAAATATTGCAGAAATAAGTTTATTTCATTGTTTGGTTGGAAACAGAAGGTTAAAATCTTGAAACATCAAAAGGAAATTTCTTCAATTAGAATTTTTTCACCCATGGTATGTAAGTAGCCAAAGCTTCAGCAGCTGGGCATGTTAGATTAACCAACAACGTATTTAGGAAGTGACAGTTGAATCAGCCAACCAATCACAACCAAGGGAATTTCAATAATTTGAATGAGTTTAAATATGTGTGAATAAGTTTAAATATGTGTGACCAATTTTGTGGAAAAAAAAAAAATCACTCTTGGCCTTCTTGAAGACTTATATATCACAGACGTGAATATGAGTAATAACTAACATGTTATTAGAAGTCCCATAGTGGCACTAGCAGAAATTAGCATTACAATAAAGGTGGGGTTTCTCATTTTTTGATCTACTTTTGACATTTATGGCCCAAACTGAAGGCATAACACTAATAGTCATGGTTTGTTGCTTTATACTGCATTTAGCAAACAGCTTTTTCTTGCGATTTTAACGGCCAAAAGCACTGATTATTAGCAATGTTAACATCTCTATAGACTACACAGCATGTGTTGGTTAAAGAGATGTTAACAAGAAGTGATGAACAAATTCCATCACAAGCTAATCTTACCAGTCCACTTGAGGTCAGCCAGACTCTGGTAGAGGATGGGCCCGATGGATCCAGCCAAGCGGGTGAAGTCCTGGTAGGTCATGCTGCATAGCTGCCTCCCATCTAGGTCAAAATTACTGAAGGGGATGGAGGTGGCATCAATTTGGTGCATATCCAGTGTCTGCTGAAGCCACTCCCACACCTGATATTTTGACCAGTACTGTGGGTGGAGGTCTTGAGACCATAGTCGACCCGCGTAGCCTGGCGTCACCATGGAAACTTTAAAGCAGAAGGTACTAGCATTGAGTTTTGATGGTTTGATCGTTTGACCTTATAAAAATTTATTTTAAACTTAACTAGACTTAACCAAGGTTCAAGGTAACACAGCATCCTGATCTGTGTGCCCATAGCATTTACATTTTCTAATATTGGTCTTTGCCGCAGGGCAAATAATGACACGTTACCCAAAGCAGAGATGTCTAGTGCAAATAATTAACCCTAAGATAAAAGGACTCTATGTTTAGGCCAGTTCAGCTTTGTCATAATGCTAACACTGATCGGAGATCATAGACATATTCATGAGCAAAATAATCATTGATAAAGCATTTCCTAATGTAATCATTGCTTACACTTACAATATTATTGATAAACTTTGTAACAGAAGATAGAGACCTTTTAAGCACTATAGGCCGATTTCCTGGTTTCTAGATCTCGTTACTCAGACCCAGATTAAGCCTAAACCTATATTAAAGGGAATTTAAAAGGTTAAACACCATAGACTTTGCTGTTTAGTCCAAGGCTAAGCTTAATCCTCATCCATGAAACCAGCCTCAAAGCATTTAAGATGCTTTTTTCACATGGTGCATTGAATTTACTTGATTCAAATGTGTAAACCATTTCCACATGGATATATTACCCCAATTTTATTCCAATTTTGTCTTAGTTTTAGCAATAACTGTGGTGATGTAATATACTATTTAGGTTGAAATTATGCAAACATTGGGCCAGTTTCATTGACAAGGATTTAGATCAGTACTGGACTAAACAGCACTGTCAATGGTGTTTTACCATTGAGGGCCAGTTTCATGGGCATGGATTACCTTTAGTCTTGGACTAAACAGCAATGTCAGTGGTGTCCCATCACTAACAACCAGTTTTGTGGACAAGGCTTAAGCTTAAGTTTTGAACTGAACAGCAATGTCCACAGTGTAGACAATGGTGTATCACCATTAACGGGTAGTTTTGTGGACAAGGTTAGTCTTGGACTGAACAGAAATATCAGTGGCATTTCAAGACTAAGAGCTGGCTTTGTGGGCAATGTCAATAGTGTTTTACCACTACAATCCCATGTAGTCTCGATTTTGGCTTAATCTGGGTGTTGGATAGAAAATTCATCCCATTACAATACACTTCAGTGGAAAACTTCTTTATTGTATGTTATTAAAATTTTATGGAAAGATAGTGATGTAGACATGAATGAGCATGAGTGTGATGAGGAAGGACAGTACCATCAGGGCAGTTGTAGTGGGGGCTCCAGGAGGCAGGCAGCTGGCTCTCAGTGGTCACAGTGGCAGGTATGCTCATGCTGCAGCCGCTATGAAGGACCATGGTCCAGAGCTACAGGCATGGACAGAGATGCCACTGCAGGTCAAATGCAAAGCTTTCAGCATAAAGCAACGCATGCGTTACTGCATCTGAAACATGGCAAGAATGGCCTTTTATACCCAGCATATTCAATGCTTAATCTACTATTCAAATATCTAGCTGGCGTGAAATGAAGCCACACTAGATCTGTTCTAAGTCCTGTTCATGATGTTTAAAGATAAGAGGACATGTGTATTATCCCATGGCCACTGAGGCAGACAGAGAAGGAGAGTGAGGCGCGTGGGTGTGTTTCGTGCCTTCCTCAACCACACACAGAAAACCACATTTGCACAGGAATGACGGTAGTTGCTTTGCATAAATAAAGGCTCACCTGTCTCTTTTACAGGTTCAGTTAACAGTACAATCAATGCATTAGTCATAGCCTACCTGAAAGTGAATGTATGAGCTACTGTTGCTGAAGTTGGAGCTATGTGAACATATTATCTACATTAATGTCTGCTTGTAACTCTGTCATACCCATTATTCTCCCTCCTTTCTTTTTTCATTCATAAGATTTTACTTATCTTTTATGGCAACTCATGTATCGCTGCTGTCACAAGAAAACCTTGCATGCATTTTTCAGTTTTTGACATAATTTGAAAATGCCTGTTGTCCTTTACATTGTGTGTAAATGTCATGATGAATGGACCAAAAGAAACGGCCCAAAATGACTTGGAAAATATTTTGGTTCCTTTGACTTGCATTAAAAGTAAAGTAGGTTTTTTCCTTCTCCTGTAAAGTTACCATTTTGGAGATACAAGGTTTTCTTCCAACAACAGCGATATACTACAGACATAAATAAATAAAATGTGATGTTAAGTTAACCTGCCTTCAAATTTAGATTTCACATGAACTTGTAAGACAATTATTTTTTAATGTTTAATAGTTAACATATTATTAGAAGTTCAATGAACTCAAGATTTTAAAATAAGTCAGCTCATGCATGTCACAAAGTAACAAAGACAAATCTTTATAAGAAGCCATTTTTCTCTTTTTGCACCACAAATCAACCATCTTTCTTTTCTTCTTCCCTTCTTTGTTTCTTCAAAATTTCTGCATAATTCAATTATCAATATCAGATAAGTCATTCAGAGTGGTTTGATGTGAGATTCAAGAAACATCAGAATTGTTCACAGTGGTGGTGATAGGAACCAAACGTCTGAAGCCTTTAATGCTTCTGAAAGATACTTCACAGAAAGCTGTTGAACAAAATGGTCAGTGTAGCCGGTTTCACAATAGTTTTGAGATAAAGTTTTGACCTAAAACATACTTTTTAAAAACTAATTTATGGTGGAGAGGTACATTAAGGATGTTTGCAAAATATTCCCCATAGAAATCTTTTTTTTTCTACTTTTATCACTATTTTACTATTATCAACATTACATATAAAAACTCAGAAGACACATGGAGGTTAACGTGCTTTTTATATAGTAAATGAAATGTGTTTTGTATTGTAGACATCGTGACCTCTGGTTCTTATTACCACCACTGTAAAGAAATCTGAGTCAGTAAAATTCTCTACAATGAAGCATTTCACTTCAAACCAGCCTGAATGACTGTGTTTACATCCTAATGATTTCATTATCCAGACATTTTGAAAAATCAGGGAAATTTCCCTTTAATAAAAATGAATAACACTGTCTTTCTCACATCTGTTATCTCTCATGTGTCTGTTTGGTTCAGGTAAATGCTAGGACAGGTAATACTTACAACCGGAGTGTTCAACTGTAGCCTTAGTCCAGCACAAGTTGACGATTTACCTGCTCAAACACATGTGATTCAACTCGAACTCAGTTAGTTACCAGGATGGTAGGTGTGTTTAAACAGGAAATCTCCAAATTGTGCTGGACTCTGGCCTTCTGGGACCGGAACTGGACACTCCTGACATGGCAACATTTCCTGATAGTACATAGCAATCTACAAAGATCATGTTGCAGTTACAGCTTGTCGAACCAAAACTTTCTGTTTAAAATCTGATCTACATTCAG